AGCTAAAATCAAGTCAATGCATCGGCAATAGCTGATTACGCCAGTGCTGCAGAGATTTAATAGAGCTATTTCATGCCCAGAGTGTCACTGGCTCTACTCCGCTCCTATTGAGGTAACAAACTGCCATTGACTTGAACAGGCAAAACTGTTACTTGATAGTCACCTCACTGGAAGGGCTGGTCAGAATTGCTGGCCTGTCATTGTGGTCCCCAGAAACAAAGGAGAAAAACACTGTGCCACTCATTCTGCCCACACTTTTCCTGCCATACGTTCAGGATCACATTCAGTGACTCTTCCTCCTATCCTCTTCCTCTGTTGTGCAGGGCAGAACAAAGGGAGAGAGTAGGTCTTTAGACCTTTCCTTTTCTCCATTCATATCTTGGCTGTTTCAGTTTATGCAACTTCACCATCAACATACTGCTGAGTTTTAAAAGCTGCACACCAATAGCAACTTCCTTCATAGCCAAAATCATATTTTGGCCTGTTCCTATGGTAATTCCTCCTTGGCATTTCATCCTCCTCTCAATTATACCAAATCCAGAAGGACTCTAAATGTTCTTCTCTTGTTGACTCCACAAAACACCTGCATTATCATTTTAAAACTACAGTCATGTTCCCCCAAATTTTAGCCCAGGGGTTCAGATTTATTTATCCATCAAAACAAACAAAATAGGGGAAAAATTATCTCACCAGAAGTCTGCTATCATGTCCTCTCCCCAGATAACCATTGTCCTGCTGTTCTTCCTCTGTGAGGGGTTTATGCAAGAGAGACCTACCAGTATTGACTTTTCCTCTCTTTTATCAGCAACATAACTAAAGCTATTGATAGGCTTTACAGCTAACTGCAAAAACATGTCAGTTTATACAAATTAGAAGACAATTTGTGTTTATATCATCTGGAAGCAGCTGTCCCTGGAACTGCCAGACTACTTCATTAAGAGAAATTCCTTCAGGGTTTAAGATGCCTATCATAATGCCATATAAGAAAGAGGGGTCTTCTGTGATTCTGATTGCTTCTTCCTAAGAAATGTTAGGCAGTAATTTCAAAGACATTTTCCCACTATTCTGAGATGCTTGTTCTCAGCTGTTGATTACTTCTATCTTCTGTTATTCCATACCTCCATGTTCATCAGCTACCTTTTGTTAATACCTGACATCTATTTAAAGCCTATGTAATATAACTCACATCCCTACTTTGCAACTTTTCTGTGATATAATTTCCAAGGCACTAAAAATCAATAAGGAGGATATTGTCCCCTGATTTTTTTTACACTACTGATGTGGCTTTTCAATAGCTAATGAAAACTGCCTACAATGGCATTACTTCTTGTTCCATCAAAGTGACATGAATATATGAATGTGTCTGAAAACGCAAAATTACTGCAGCATTACAGAATGGGACAATTAAGGTTGGAGGGGATTTCTGAAAAGCATACAGTCCAAATGTCTGACCAAATTGCTATGAACTTGCTTACATCCAGTGTAGACAACAGTTTGGAGTCTTGACCCCATTGAAACCGGCAGGAAAACTCTCAGGAATGCTTGTGCAGCAGAGCACTTTGCTGAAATTAATCATACTCTGGGTCTCAAGATGTTATGTAGTTGGGTTTGTGACAGAGGCTTAAAAGACATCTTGTGGTTCCTAGCATGCCTTTCCTCACGTCAGCAACCAAAGCTGACGTTTTGCATGCAGATTCTGCAGTGCCAGGTAGTCTACACTGTCAGGAGACAAAGAGCAATCTGCAACTGATGCAGAGGCACAAAGTCTGCAAAAATATCTACGTTCTTCACTCCCCAAAATCTCTACATTTCCTCCTATGCTTTAAACATCTCTTCCACCAGCTCCCAGACTCAGCCATCTGTTGTTACTGGAGAAGGTACTCATGCTATCAGGGCTCTGCTTGTTCCCGTTGAATTGCACTTGCCATTCCCAAATCCGCAGTGTGCCCAGAACTTACCCACTGCCTAAGATCTCTGCAGCTTGCTAGGGGACATAACAGACTACAGTTTTCATGACTGTTCATTGAGGGCATCTGAACACTCAGATCCTCAGCCTTCTGTGATTCAGCTGAAGTAATGCTAGACACTGACTTCATTTCAGTATTCTGCTTTCCTGATTTCTTACTGTGACACTTGGAGATGGAGCACATGTTCATTAAAGAGTTTTTTTGAGATACTGCTTGACTTCATGCAGAGAATTTCCCAAAGCAGTGATGGTACAACCTCACATCAATGCACAGCTCTTCCACATCCCCGCAAAATGGGAGAAAAGAGGAAGGAAAGGAAGATTACAGTCATCTTTTGGTGAAGAATAGCAAAATAACATAACCACAAATAAAGAAAAGTTATAATACAGCAGTTTTAAGCTCTCAGTGTCAGGAAGCAGAGAGGAGTAGCTTTGCAAAGACTAACAAAAGACTGGAGCAGGACTCTTAGATATTAGATAATACATGTCATTAGAAGATCTGTTTTGGTGAAGTTTGCAAATAGCATCTGTGTTTCCCTTCTCAGGAGCACAGAATTCGAGCCTTTGCCAGAGGAGAGGCTGCCATCCCTGCTGCCCCGTCAGTCTTGCACCCTCAAAAGAAACCAGGTCTCATCAGAGTTGCAGAGCAGTGTCTCATTCCTAAACCAGGATGTTGGCATGCAGGCCTGGCACAGCTCCAGCCCTACTTCCCATGGACAGAACTGGTCAAGTTTTTTGCCACAAAAATAATTCCTCTATCCCATTTCAGAGGAGCAGAGAAGGGCAGGGAGTATGAATCTCCATGGGAATGTCTCTTCTAACAATAAATGTGCCAAATCAGTTCTGCTGCAAGCAGCAGCAGGAGATGCATTTGCAGGTTTGCAACAGCAAGCTTGCTCTCCAGAGGGTGGGTTCGTTGCTTGATGGTGACAAAGACCTGCAAGATCACACAGCAGAAGCGGTGGCTGTGCCTGCATGGCCTCACAGGCAACAGTCTGCACGGGCCAGCGTGCCCTGCAAGCAGGCCAAAGAGCCATGGGCTTGTGCTGTGGCTTGCAGGCAGGCCCGGAGTGGTGCAGCCACTGGGGCCTCTGGGGTCTACCATTTGCTTAATGGGCATTTGAGACTTCATTTCCCAGAGGTGGGCCACTTGCCTTTCTCCTGTGCTAGGCTCACACACACAGGCCCTCTGAGGAGGGCGCTCAGCTGGTAGGGAGCAGGGGATTTTAGCTGAGAAATGCCTGGGTTGGTCTGCTTGGGCTTCTGAGGCATTGGAACTCACTGCCAGTTATGTGCAAGGTAGAATTAAGGTTAGTTTTAGTCAGGGCTATGGCTGGGGTTGACAATGAAAATGGAGTGACAGGAAGGGTTAGGGACAGAGTGTTTGGGCCTTCCCTGTTACAGAGAGTGACCCTTGGAGTAGGTTTCCATTAGGAATTGTTTTAAGTTCTGGCTTATGAATAAGGTTCAATATTAAGTTTATGGATTTGCTTAGGGCTTAGGGCTTAGGTATGGCTAGGGTTTGCCTGATCTATAATCTTCTGTACTCAAGTGACTTCGGGAGCCAGGGAAAGTTCTTGGATGTTACTCAGCCTGCCAGACTAGGGATGCTTTTCATGTTACAGTTAAGCTACTTCCCTGTTCTGGGTGCACTGAAACACACTCAGGTTAAGACTGTGATGCTGGAGAGGTGTTTTGGATGGAAAAATAAGGTCTATAGTTAGGACTAACATTGAAAGAGGGGTGCAAGAGAGGTGAAGGTAGGATTCAGGGTTAGGTCTAGCCCAGAAGGGTCCTTAGAAAGATCTAGTGGCAATATCCAGGGAGGAGGGATACTGGCAAAAGGATCCAGGAGAGGATGGGGGCTTGGGAGCAGTAGTAGGGAAGGTCCAACCCCATGGCAAGGGGTCATGTGGGGCCACAGTCTCTGTGCTGGTGAAGGGGCCAAGAGAGTGGGAGCTGAGAGTAAGTCTTCTGTGAGGAGTGAGTCCTCATGGACAGAGGGTCTTCCTGGCCCAGGGTAAACAGCTCGTGCAGTCTGAAGGATGGACCTCTTGAAAGGAAACAGCCCCATACCAAAGATGGCTCGATGGAAGAACCATCAAAACCAGCAGGGTCCAGCTGTGGCTCCATGTGTCAGGATTTGCTCTTCTGCAGTCCCATTTCCTCAGGGTCTCCTGCCTCGAACAGATGAGGACCAGTCTGAGGAGAGCTGGCCTGGTTGCTCCAACAGCTGCAAGGGAATCACTCTGAGAGGGAATCGCTTAGCACCTCAGTGCTGCCATGTGCTCCGGCAATGCTGGTGTCCAGCCCTGTTTGTAAGCAGGGAGCTCATGTCTTACTCCGTGTGTGCCCCAGTGCTGCCCTCAGTGCTGTGGCTTTGGCCATCTCTTGTACCATCAAGAGGACTAGCTGTAAATGCGTGACTCTTTCTTTGCCACCAGCCATATGTCCAGCAGTTGGGACCTAGGACCTGTGACAAGGTACTGCACCTTCACATCTGTGCTGCTCAGAGGTGAAACCTTGGGTCCTAGAGGCCCCCACTCTATGACTGAATATTGTCAGGGTGGGTGGAGAAATAGTTCTCAGAAAGCAACATCTGAAGAGAGGGAAAGTATGTGCTGAGAGATAGTGGGTGGATGTCTCTCAAGAAGTGATAAAGTCTAGCAACTAGCAACGCTGTTGAATCTGCAAGAACTGATAAACCCAAGACACCATGAGTCTGCTGAATCTGCCCAAGGCCACCACCATGCTCCAGCATCGACAGCCACTGCTACCAGACCGTATCCAAGGAGGCAACAACAGTCACTGCTCTGCAAGAAGATTATGGTATTATATCTGCACCCTGTGGAAAAGCAGATCCTGAGGAACTTTTTGAATGCCTTCCTAGAAGCCGCTGGTGCACTGGGGCAAGTCTCCTCAGGCGGCCAGGGTCAACCTCCTGAGCCATGCTGTCCCTGCATAGCTCTGAGATGACCCCTATGACTGAGTGTGTTATGAGCCTAATTATCTCCTGTTGGTAGGAACAGCTGAGGTCTGTTAAGAGCAACACCCTCATGAGGAAAAGATGTTCTAATAAATTTTGGCTCTGACTTGATGTCCTATGAGGGAAAAGGAAAGTAAAACACTTTGGTCACCTCTCCTGCAGCAAGGTGTTTTTTAGAGAAAAAGCCATGTGGCTCCCAGCTACACAGGAGTCATTTGAGTACAAGCAGTAGGAGGAACAGGTGGGTTATCACAAAGGTTCCTCACTTTAGAGACCTGGAGGGGATGAGAAGGCATCACAGATAAACTGTGAATTGAAATAAGAAGCTACAAAAACACTCAGGTAGCCTCAGTAGTAAGGGATGGTTCGTTTGAATCTGTAGGCTGGTAGACCTTGGCTGGTGGTGCTAATGATGCTTTGAATGGGAACATCTGAAATGAGCATGACCTATAGGAACCCAATATTCCTTTTAGTATGGCTGTAGTAAGGAAATTCTAGGTTGCTATTTTCATTGCTTAGGAAGAACATTTATTTTAAAATATTTTTTACAAACTTCCTAACACTGGACGAGAGACAGCACTTACTGTTCATTGGGTAACATGCTTATTTCCCCCAATCCACCTTTCAATTTTTATTTATTTATTTTTCTTAAGCTACACAAGAGCTAAAAATGGTTATAAGGACTTTTCCTGAAACCCTTCATAAAACTTAAGATGGGCTTAGTACACGATGGTATGGAAAATTAGGATATTACTAAATTCTCCACTTGAGGGCAACACCACACTGCTGATTTAGTCATTGCCTTTCAGTCTTTAATCATTCCTTCATGAAATTGACCCCCTTGGCCAAACTTACAAATGTTTTACTAGACAGCTTCCCATACACTTATTTTCTCTATCTTTTTTTACACCATCTCTAACTGACTACCATGTACAAGCAGTTTTATAACTTGTTTTATTTCAGCCTCAAAAAATAAACAGCACTTTACAAGTCATTAGCCAAGAGCCATGGTTCACAAAGCACTAACACTGCTCAGCTCTATAGGCCCTGCTCAGACCTAGCTTTAGTAGGTCTGTCCTTTAGAAATTGTATAGATATAAGATTTAAGGATAAAAATGCCAGGTCTGCCAGGAGGTCCTGGCACTGTTAGTTACTGTTACTTTTGGCTTATTTTCCCCTCCTCTCTTGCCCACAGTTTAAAAAACAAAATAAAAAAGCCTAAACTTACAAGACCTCATAACTGCATCTTTTAAAACAATCTCAAATTTTTTTCCAGATAGTCCCAGACCCCAGGCACCAGGATGGAAGTTGTTTGGTAGGTTTGTTGGTTGGTTGGTTGCTAGCGTTAACACCAGTAACATTGCAGACCACTCATCACTGGAAGGGCTTTGCAGCTTAATTTAGGCATCTTCTAAGGACCCCATTTTATTAACGTCAAAATTCAAATTTAAACCACTGCATGACTTTTTTTAAAGCTTTCCTGCTTTGATTGTCGACTTTAAAGAAAGAGAAGTGTTAGAGCAAAGATGTAGACTTGAAACAAGACTTCAAGGTAAGTGGACAATAGTTACCAGGGAGGAAAGCAAAAGGAGGAACTCTCTACACAGTTTGCAGGATCATGTCAATGTTAATGGCTTTATAAGAATCTTTTTTACCAACATGTAAAGGAACAAAGTCCCAGAGCACCAACAGCAACAGAGGCAAAACAGGAAATATCTTGCAACGAGTTACTCCGTTCATGAACAAGTATGTGATAGTATAGCCACCGGCAAAGATACAAGGATCTTTTTCTTTTTCCTTTAAGTTATGTGTCTTCTTTACACTGCTGATAGTGCTACACTGCTAGGTAAGACGTGTACAGCACCACTTTGCTGGTTCCAGTACCCCCGGTAAACAGAAAGAAATGACTCGGAATCCAACCCTCCAGTTTTAATAAAAGTATTTCTTTACCTGTACTTTTTGACACCAGTGAAACTGCAGAGGTTTAAATGTGGGAAGGGCTCATGTGGCAAATACCAGTGTCCCAGGCTCTCAAAGCACTGCTGAGTACTGAGGAATCAATACCTGAACATGTTTGAGAGGACCTAAACAGTCCAAGGGAGGACACCCAATACAGATAAGAGCCATCGGCTCAAGCAGGCTAATGGTGAACTAACAGATTAATCATGCATTTTTTTCTTGTTTTTGGAGTATGAGCAGAAGATCCGGAACAACCCAAAGCTGGCTGAGTGTCCGACCCCTTCACTGCCCTGCAAGAGAGGAACTGGCAGGGGTGAGGAGGAGGGGGGTTTCCAGCTCTCAACAGATTGTGTCAGACACAGAAAATAAAAATCCCAAAACTGGGGATTACAGAGGCAGAAAATCAGAGTGTGATCACTTCCACCGGGGTGGGTGATATTGCTCTAATACCACTTCCTATAATCATCTCCAACAACAATAAGCAATTTCTTCTAAGTGCAGGTCCTCTACAGTGAGGTCTGAAATCGCACTCTGCCCAACCTCGCAGTCAAAAGAATAATAGAGACACCAAAACATGCTGCTGGCAACATCTGTTTATTGGTATGTTTAATTAAGCATTTAAAAATAGAAATCAACAGTAAAAATAACCTCCAGCTGCCAACTAGGCGTTACTACTGCGTAATGCTTGCACAGACATCAAGACAGCGATCTACTTGCTGGAGCCCATTTTGGTGGCTAGAAATGCCCCTTTGCAGAAATGAAACCACAAGGACAGAGTCCCCATGTACAAATTAACAATGACAGGCAGTGAACCTGCTCCTTTGCTCTCCAGTGAAACAAGAAAACTGAGGGGTCCCTGACACGGTAAGGGAACCAGGTAAACATCCTTGGATGATGTTCAGGTATTTTGGGGGTCACTTGAGCAAGAAAACAGAGTTTAATGGCTTAAAAAGAGAGAACGTCTCCTTTCTAGCCTTAAATCCAGAGCCATCTAGACAGTGTCATGGAGAATGTGCTCTAGATGGCCCTGCCGGAGCAGAGATGGAGTTGGACCAGATGATCTTCAGAGGTCCTGTCCACGCAGACCCTTTGTCCTCTGCAAACTGCAGTCTTCTCTTGTGCTACACTCATTTTGATGATTCAGGATTGGCAAAAGAAGCATTTCACAACAACTCCAGAATTCACCAAGGCAGTGCCGACTGAATGAAACCATCTACCACGTCAAAACCACCCATCATCCTAAACCTAGAGAGGACAAACCAGTCTTCATCTCCCTCCCCTCAGGTAAATGGTGCTCCTTATACTTGGATTTGCCCTTTAGATATCTAGGACTTTTGATAGAGTTATCTTCACCACACACATCCCTTCATAGAAAAAATCTATGGAGAGGGTGTGAAATCCAAATTTAAGGGGCACTATTTAACCGAGGTGAGGGAGTTTGGAGCCAGTTTGTGTTGGTGCTTTTCTTTGGCAAGCAGACATAAGAGAAGGACACTGTCAACAGACCCTGACATGGAGAAGACTTGAGTCTGCAGCAGGCACCAGGGAGGGACGAACCCTGAGCAAGGCAAAGCAGAGCCAAGTGGAAAGCAAGGAAGCGACACAATCCAGACACCTCATCCTGCATTTCAAGAGGTTTCAGGCTCTTGAGCAGGAATCATGGAGGAAATGGGCGCCGAGGAGCAAAGCCGGGGCTCTCAGGAACACCAGTGACTTCCAGCCCAGGAGGTGCCATGTGGAGGGGGGAGTTGTGGGAGCCCGGTTCCCCATCGGGCATCCCCAGGGCAGCGTGTGCCCTCGGAGGGAGCCAGCGCGGAGCCGCGGGGCGGCCCGGGGGGACGG